AATTAATTTAGGACATCAAAGATTAAAGTAGAGAATACTCATAAAGGATATATACATATATGTATGTATATATGTATATATTTATTTTGGATATAAATTTTACTCATAAAGGATATATATATATATGTATGCATATATATGAATATACAGGTACATATTCAGCTCACCTGGGTGAAGCCTTCATAAATCACTCAGCTCTCAAGGAAACATGAGTAAAATAAAGTAAAAAATAGATTTTGAAAGGCAAGAAAATGAAGCAAAGATTTGAGCACTTGTATCCTTCTACTTCAGAACGGAGTTCTCTAAATCCAAAATCTGATTAGCATATTTAATCTTATGCAGTGTCAGGAATGGTCTTTTATCCTTTAATCAGTCTATTATTATCCAAAATAATCATTCTTAATAGCTTAAATATACTTTTAGTGCACCGTGATACACTGCACACTTCGGTGGCCTAGGAGCTTTGCTAGGTTATATGAAAATGCAGGTATGGCGCTCAAATGGTAGAGACAAAGATAAAAGTGAGACGAAAATGGAAACATGGTGTAGTTGGCTACACACATCGGATCAGGTTATTAGGTAGTTCATTTACCTGTGTGTGGTAGAGATGGCAGAAGCATAGGGTATGGTCAGAGTTAATAGGCTCTGATTCAGAAGATTTGTATTTCAGTTCTATTTGCATATCCTGTGTTGACCTGGGGAAAGTCATGTGACTTTCATTAGATTCCATGTGTTCATTCATAAAACTGCGATAAGTACTGCAGGTGCTGACTTAAAATTTCTGAAATCTCATTAAGTATTTAAATGGAAATATAGTTTAGAAGTGTAGTGATTTGGATCTTTTGCAAAAGGGAAAGGAACTAAGAGATGAGGGATGGAAGAGGAAAAGGAGACGTGGATGAGGGAAGAATTAATGTGTTACAGAGCTGTTCCAACTCTCTGTGATGAAGTCAGTATGTACTACCCACATGGCATTAGAGATACAAAGTTTAGAATCTTTGAATAAATGTAATATTTCTACTAGTAGTACGTGTCATAACCATTCAGATTGTAGTGGATGCTACAAATGCATAATGAAATTTAGCTTTTCTACTATTCTTTGTATAAACATAAATTATGGTGTAGACAGAAGAATTTGTTGGGGGGAATAAAAAAAAGAATTTGGAAAAAAGGGAAATGTGGAATTGAAACTGGAGAGGTAAAATGGTATACTAAGGAAAATCACCCTTTCCTTTATTCAAAGAGGGGATCTTTTAAAGTTTTAAGTAAGATAAAGACAAGCTAAAATTATTTATTATTGAGATATACTTGGCTGGAGTGTGAAAAGTACACTGGAATAAAACTGGATAAAAATAGACAAATTTAAGAAGTACAAACCAGGTAAGTGGTCTGTAGTAGGACGGTGGTAGGGAATGGTGAGGAAAGAGAAAGAGAAACAGAGAGAGGAAAGAGAGAATAAATATGGAGACCAGAAGAGAAACAACCTGAGATTTAACACATATTTGCAAATAGAGGGCACAGGATTTACAGAGTGGCTCTGGGAAACAATTAAATAAGACATAACATGGTTAAAGCAATAACAGCAATGCTCAAATTTACACGCTGGGCATTGATGCTGGGAGAAAAGATAACTTAAGATGAGTAGCATTTGGGAGATTCAGGAAAATCTAAGTAGGTATGTTTAGTTCACTACTGGAGATAGAAATTCGGGAACCAAGTAAGTAGAGGAGAGAAGGCCCCCTATAAATATGTAAAATAACAACTATAAAAAGACAAAACTTGAAAAATGACCAAAATTTAAGATTTCAAATTAAGACTGAGTGCTTTAGTGTGATAGGTTTGATAGCTCTCATAAGCAAAAAGACTTAGAGTGAAATACATCACATTTGGCTCACCAATTATTCATAAACGATGTCATTGAAAAAGGTACTCCAAGTCAAAAACATTTTACAAGATTACAAAAAGGAAATAATTATAGTATCAGAGTTTTGTGTATTTTTACTCCAATAAAAAAAAAGTTACTTCTTTAGATTGTTGTAAAAGGGATTCATATAATTTTTTGAAATACTGTGGAAACAGGCTCAAATAGCCTCAAGGAAGTCTAGAAATCATTAATATGTACAATTTGTTAGCTCTGATGTTTAATGCACGGAACAAGGAGAATGTACAGTTTTCAGTGCTATTTGTTATGGATTTGTCATCAAAATGAAATGTGATTATTCATGAGATATATTGAATAGCTGGGAACTAAAGAAAAAAGGTATAGTAAATGTGGCAGTGTGTACAAAGTAAATTAAAGACATATTTTGAGAATACTGTTGAGGCCTGTGTAGATACACATTTATTTCTATCCCCAACACACAGAATTCCTCCTGGCCGCTCACTTATGTACTTCTCCTGAAGCCCTCCTACGGCGGTCACTATCACGGACACTCTGAACTTTCAACTTGCACACATCAAAGGGGCATTTTTTTCCTGTGGAGTTCCAAGTTTTCTAAACAGCTTGGTACTAGAGTATTCCTAAACTTGTTCCTAAACACAAGCCTAGCAAAAAATGTATGTAAAATAACACTGCACTAAAGCTATGAGACAAAAGGCATTTAAAATCACGCTGTTCTCACTGATAAAGATGATTTCGGCTCACTGCATCCCGAGAGCTTTAATACTTCTTTTAATAAGTCACTCTATGGTCGTGTTTGGATCATGGCTTCAGGAGACAGCAATTTTGTGGGAGTAAAATGGCAGGTAAAAAGTAAAAATTAGCTTCAGGCTATGTCACTTGTCCATTTACTCTGTTCTAAAACAGGTTAAAAATACCATGGCAAATTGCTACTCCTGGGTGCAACTTACTCATTATTAAAAATAATGCCAACCTTGCACATTAGTTAGAAGAATGTTCTTAATCTAGTGAAGTAAGACAATTCGGTTTAGTGTAGTTCCCTTGAGCCCAGGAATGATACCTAGAACATCTCCTCATTCCTTTTGTGGCAGTGTGCTGTTTACCAGACTTCCAGTTGTAAAGAAAAATGCTTCCATTGGTGGAAAGTTATTATTATGTCTAACTAAATTTCACTACTCCCTCACCATTCTGGAAAGCACATATAAAGGAAGTTGTGAAAGAAATATCCATTATCAGGTGTCAGGATTTTGTTTGCTTTGTAACAAAGACCACAGTATTTCTGGAAGGAATAAAGAACAAAATGCTGCTTTTGCCAAGCAGTGTAGTTATGTGGTGATCCTCTAATAAAAATAGAGCAAGGAATATGCCTATTAGCCTAAATGCCTTATTTGATCAGTTAAAAAAAATTTTTTTTTTTCAAACAAGAACTCAGGCTACTGATCTACTTTTCTCCTATCATTTTTTAATATTTGATTGGTCCTTCTTTTGGCCACTTCTACCTTAAGAAGCTTGAGCTATTTGAAAATCTATTGTATAGAACAATCTACTGTATAGTAGGATAGAAATCTTACTGTAAATAATATCATCTTTCAGCAGCTGTTTTGAACTCTACCTGAGCAACCTGGTTAGGAAGAAAACAAGGTAAAGAAAATGAAAAGGCATTTTTAACTCTCGTGAACTTTTAGTGACTTCCCAAAGATGCAGGGGCTTGGTAGCCTGTCCTACACCTCTTCCGAGTGCAGCCTATCCCTACAGCATCATAGTTCCCAAGTATTCTGCCCCCACTGATCACACATTTTCAGCCACCTAGAACATCAATCTCCCCAGCTCTCCTCACCTCTTGGTTTGTCTCAAGGCCTAGATTTTATTTTCAAAGATAGAAATCACTACTTTTTCACAATGAACTTATACTAGTGTGGGAAGCCATTAACTGGTATCCATTTTATAAGTGTCAGCCGTCTTCTTAAGTTTCTGTTCCCATGCTAAGTTTATGGTCCTTCTCACCTTGCCCATTCCCCGTGAATCACGTGCTATGACCCAGGGGTTGCACCTTCCCCTGTTGCCTAGATACCTGCTGACCACAAGAGCCAAGACTTCCTCATTCCTACACCCCCTATGTATACCCAGCATCTCCCCTGAATAAACAGGACTTGATCAGAATCCTGTCTTGTTATTTCTCACGTCTCCTGTCCTTTGTCCCCTCTTCAATTCCCCGCTCCTCCCCCAGGTGACCTTCGTTGACTGACCCGCTGGTTCGGGACATACTAGCCTCTTTTTTACTATAGAAAATTGTCCTTTAAGACACAAAAATTTCACTCAACACCCACTACCTAGCTCTCACATATATTCAGAACATAATCACTGGTTCTAAGTTCTAACAAAATCTGCAGTGTGGAGAAATTATACTCTATATAATTAATGAATTTATTTCCTAGAACACATTTACCTCATATTCTGCAAATCCACACTAGAGCATAGTTCTAGGACCAGTTGTCTACTGTTACTGTTATGAGATTTAATCTAGTTTATTTGGGTCAAAAATCTATCTTCCTTCTTCCATCTTCTGGTTTCACTTCTATGATAGTCTCTTCTGTCTTCATTCAAATCCCTCCCTGAATCTTGGAGATTTATTCATTTTTTTCAAATATAATACACGTGCTTTTAATTCTTGTAAACAAGTAACAATTACAAAATGCCAAGACTGGCAGTATTAGACCAGTAAGAAAAATATACGTAATTCTAGATATATACTCGTTTTAAACCTGGAGATTGAATACACGTGCTTGTAATTCTTGTAAACAAGTAACAATTTCAAAATGCCAAGACTGGCAGTATTAGACCACTAAAAAAAATATATGTAATTCTAGATATATTCTCGTTTTAAACCTGGAGATTGAAAATTATTTACTATCTACGTGGGCTTACAAATCTGGGTATACTTGCATGTAGTTGACCCCAACAAGGAAAATTTAAGATCCCAATTTTTCTCCAGTCCTAGAAATCAAACTCAAGGCTTTGCGCATTCAAAAGAAGCACTCTGAATGAGTTGAATCCCCAGCCCTCAAACCAAAACTTTATTCCACATAATGGAAACCTTAAAGAAGGCTTTCACATTTTTTAATCCTTATCACGCTTCTAAATAGGAGATAATGACTAAAATTTGGCTTTTAACACTTGTCACAAAAAACTTACCAAAACATTAAAAAACAGAAAACACACAAAACAGAAAATAAATATTTTAATGTCACATTCGTTTCCATTAGAACACATTCCTGACACATCCTCATCAGTTTTGGAACTGGCTTTCCCTTCTAGGTGCATGCACCTACTCACCTGTCGGAGGTTAGCAATTTAGTCATAATTACTACATCAATAATTGACTTAGATACTGACTTTCTCAAGTATAGGATTAAATATCTGAAACAAAATTTATAACTGTATTTTTTGACACTTTACTTTCCAACTGTAACATTTTTTAAATGTTAGAATCTGCAAGGATTAAATGCACATTTGGAGTAAAAGTGAACCATAAGTCACTGTATTTCATAATAACCATAACACCTTATTTTCCATGAAATTATATAGTCACTATCATATCTATAAATGTCCTGTGCAACTCTTAATTTGGTTTAAAATTCTGATATCAGTAAGTCTCCATTAACTATTAAAAATTGTTCATTATTAAAGGTTTTATCTAACAAAGTTTTATCTTCCTAAGATAAATATTAAGTATTACACCTACAGATTTAGCGGCATTTGATAAGCTGAATTTATCCTTCTTTTTGTCCCTTTTCTTAAATTATTCCACATATATTTTTGGTAAAATCTTTTTATTACAGTTAGAGGGAAACTCTTGCCCTGGGTTACATAGTATACAGGCCATTACAATTCATTACTGATATAATTTTCACTAATTAATGAAATGGATCTTCCAAGATGTCCTTTTACTTAACTATAAAATATAAGCAATGGATTTCATATAGTATCTCAAAGTCTCTTCCAATTCTACCACAAAATAGTATAAAGCTAAATTATATAAATTTGTATATTTATAAAATATCTTTTAAAACAATTTTAAAATAGCCTTGTAAAATATATATTTTTAAGCTGCTAATTGTGAACAACTATACTTCCTTTAGAATCTTACTGGTTGAGCTGTGAAATGCACTCATTTCCTTCTTAAGAACATGTTCAAAGTCAAAATCAAGATGCTGGAGTTGAATATTTTAAGTGTTGATGGGAGTGATCATGTAATTTATTTTGCTAACACAGATACATTCCTCATTACAAAATGAAATAAACCTGATTTTAACTGAGTATGTAAACGAATCTGGGATTTATTTACTATCTAACTTTTGAGGATAATTCCTTTCAAATACATATAATTTCAAGTGAAAAAGTAGAGAATCTTGATTTATCTTAATAACAGTTTTGGGCATAAGTAGTAAACAGATATAGTGATTAATTTTAGCTTTTAAAGAAAGTCCAGGCACAGTGGCATGCTCCATGTTAGTCTCCTCCTCTGAATGCGATATGTGAGATCACTGGCAGAACTGGCTGGTACAGCACATGCTTAGCATTGGTCTAATGAGGCTAAGAGCGAAACTGTTGCAGCACCACTGTAGGGTAACAGAACCAGGAAGAAATGCTACATTGGGCTGTGACAGAAAAGTGAGCAAAAATCAGCTCTCAGTAACTTAAAGAACCTTTGTGGTCATGAAATGATTAAATATCAATATAAGCTCAAAATTCATTAAAATTTTGTTTCACTTCTCACAGAAGGAATTTTAGTGAGGCCTGAAATTTAGGCTTATTCACATTCTAGAATACATCTCTTTATATGATGTCTAACAGAAATATGGTTTGTAAGATAAAACTGTGATGCACAATCAAAATATTTGAAAGTCTCAATCAAATTTAACAAAATCTGAGGCAATGCTGAAATTTATAAAAAAGTGAATTCTGTGGTTAATGAAGGCATGAACACTTTGCAAATATTATGACAGCCCAACAAGACATATTATGTTATGATATTCTGAAGGGCACTAAATATTTCTAATCTCAATTGAAAAGTAGTATGAGCAACAATAATACTCAAAGCCCAATGCTTCAGTTTACAGATTGGGGTTCATTCCAACCCAGTGCTTGATTAACTGATGTGCAATCGCTCGGCTCGGGGGCACGAAGAATGCTTGCTGCTTCCCTCTGCTCAGAACATCCACAACCTAAAATATATAGCAAGACAAATTAGGCTTCCAACACTGCTGTGTTTAAAAGCTACTTCCACATGTAAATAAGTCAAGTAAAATGCAATGGTTCTTACAGTGAATAACAACAGTAGAAAGTGACAGTATCCATATGACAAATGCAAAATTTAGTATGGCAGTTTTGTTACTCTGAGTTAGTGTTGTTATTCTTAGGATGCTCCAGAAAGATATTCCCTCATGAAAATGAGGTCATGAAAAAGCAAAATACATGCTCTCCACTTTTCAAGAAAAGCCACCTGTTGAGACAGGGCTCGCTTTTCTAAAATTCTGAGGCAATAATCTAATTTCTACCTTTTGAGACAGAGTAAGAAATAAAATTAATATAGTGGGTAGTCAGAAAAGATTTTAGGTCTTCACTACTCTGGTGTATTTGTTTTCTATATAAATATTTCAGGTCATGTAAAACACAGAAAAGAAATTTGTCCTCCATTGTATTACTCAGAGATGCTCTTCCAAAAAGTTCTTGGGAGTGTATGCTTATTCTATGCTCTTTTTGGCCCTTGGTACATTGCTCAATAAGACTTTAAAATTTTCAAGTGTTTTACTGATTCTTTTGAGAGTTAACTGTTTAAACACTATGAACTAAAATATAAAACAAGTTTAAGAAAAATATTCCCATTTATCTTTGAACTAATGTGTATGCGACTTAAGTCCACTGAAAACCATTACCATTAATTTGAAGGAATGACATTTGAAATCTGGAATCACATGGGATCAATCATTACTAAAATGAGTTAAAATAGAACACATCCATGAGCATACACTCTTCCTACATGGAGTTATCAGTTATGCTGCAATCCATGCATAACAAGAGGGCTGTACTCTTTCATTCAACTTGTGGAAAATATGCTTCCTTGCTGTGTGCCCAAGCCAATACTGTCAGGGAACAATCAATAGAAGAAGGAAATTAAATTGAACTTTAGCACTTTACCTGTTCTCTCGTGAACCAGTGGGCATCCTCTATTTCATTCTTGTCAACTTTAATTTCTGTAGACACTGCCACAGCTAAACAACCAATCATTAAGGAGGAGGGCATTGGCCATGGCTGACAAGAGACATACTGAACATGGCCAACTTTGACTCCACTTTCCTCTTCTACTTCTCTCCGAACAGCATCTTCTATTGTCTCCCCTAATCAAATGGGGCAAAAGAACAAGCTGTTGATGAACACAGCCTGGACACTTTGTGCTGCAAATTGTGCACACACTTGAAAGTCACTTTGGAGAGAAACACAATTCAAAGAATACAAGTATAAGACAAAGCAAACAAAACACTATTTTTAAAAGGATATGACCATGTATAGAATCTCAAACTGTCAACAAGAAAATTTTCACTTATTGGAGTTCCACATTTGTCAGGTCCATTTTACAAATAACAATTATAAAATCTACAATGATCTGTAACATAATACTGGCTAAACATTATACAAACACCACATATAATGAAACTCACTATTTTTTTCTTTTTAGGCAATTGTTTTCTGCTAAGTGATTATTGATTCAGCCTTGAGAAAAAATAATGTGATGCCTATAAGTGTTGTCTATAATTCTGACTTTCACATAACTTAGAATCTAAATACAGGAAAAAGTTTTTAAGTGCATTTATCTGGAAGTTTACAAATATTTATCAATATATAAACTTACTTAGCAAAATATATTTTTAAATGTAATTTCCCTTTTCAAATTTTAATAAATTTCTTACACAAAAATTAAGAACTTATATCACAATAAAATATACATTAAGTTCCCAACCTATGAAGTTGAAAACTTTCACCATCATGAAAGGACTTTGCATTAGGAGCATTGGTAGATGTGAACCAATAGCGAAAGTGTGGGGCGGGGGCCCTACGGCTGTGCTGCTGTCGAACAGCACTGGATCAGAGTCCAGGATGCCCAGAGTGGGGTGATGGGGAGGAGGTTGCGGGAAGCGCAAAGGAACATGCAAGGCACACATGCGCCAGAGGCATGTAAGGTTCCTCTGTCAGACTTAGGAACAACTCTGACGTAGGAGCATTCTCCTGGAACTGAGACTGTTAGGAAGTTTGGGATTTACTACATAGCAAAACAGGTCACCAGCTAATACAATACCATAAAAACCAAGAGATTAACATACATATTTGAAAACTCTTAAAAAAAGGAAGATAACCAAAAGTAAGACAAAAGATACAAATAAAATTCAAAGCAAAGGAAAATTGGATGCATAATGCACATTTGAAAAAGATCTCCATCAGCAGAAAAATGAAAATGAAAACAATGGCTCACTTTCATAATCCTCAGAGAGACAAATTAAAGTTTGAAAATCCTAACATGGTGAAGACACAGAAAAACGCAAATTTCATGTAGTGCTGTTGGGCATGTAAACTGGCAGGAACACTCGCTTGCGCCCTTTGGCAACATCGAGGAAAGGTCAAGAGGCTCACATCATGCAAACTAGCCTTCCCACTCCGTGACTAAATCTAGACAACTCTTGGAGAATAAAATATTGTCTGTGACAGGAAGAGCCTCAGAACACACTAAGTGTCCACAGCAGGAAGGAAGAAAACATTACAGTTAAAAACTGACCTGGAACAACAGGAGCCAGCAAAGTAATTAGGAACAAGGCCTCGGAAGCCCCACTGCCTGGGCCTGAATGATCTCAGGCATGCTCCCAAGCCTCCGTGCCTTAGTTCCTTGTGGTGATACTGCTGTGCCAGTGTCCTACTGCATGAGGCTGTGTGAAGGTGTGGCTGAGTCCATAATACCTCCAGAAATGAACCTTGTACCACACAGGTGTAGTGCTGTCATCTAGTGACAGGACTTAAGACGGGAAGGTGAAATTAAATATTAACTAAATGAAATGAATGTATGCATTCATTTATTCTACAGATACTCACTGAGTCCCTAATACATGGGAGATCTGGGCTTGGGAGACAGAAATGAATAAACTAAAGATCCTGCCTTTGTGGGACTGGCAGCCAGTAAGATAGACAGTAAACAAATATATATAGTATTAGGTTATGCTGCAAGCCACCGAGCAACGTCAGGCAGCAAGACAGGATGTGAGGGCAAGGCGAGGCTCACCGATGCAGTGGGGTGACCACGAAGGCCCTCTGGGCGGCGACATCAACACATGCCCAGAAGAGAGGTGCAAATTATCTAGGAGCCTTGGCCAAGAACAATGTATGAAAGAACAAGTACTGAGCTTTTAATAAATGAAATTACTAGTAAAATAAGAAAATTAAAACATGTTTAAATTATGTCTTTAAAATGATCTATTTTAAAAAATGACTCAGTTTTATAACATGATAAACTTGTTGGAAATTATAACTCAAGATATAATTATAACTTATACCTGAGAATTTTATTTGGAAATTATGTTTAATGAAATTATGAAATGTATTCAGACAAGGCTTACCAGGTTCAACAAATCCAGCAAGACAAGTAAACATGCCTGGGGGAAATCTCTTCTGCCTGCCTAAAAGACATTTGGTCCCATCTGGATGAATGACTTGCATGATTACTACTGGATCTGTTAAAAGAAATCAGATACCTGAGTGACAAGAAAAAATAATTTAAGACACTCTGTGCAAAGTCACTGTATGGTAGGATAAGGGATAAGGTATATCCTTTAATAAGGATATACCTTAATAAAGGTATATTTCCTCTAGAAACAAGATTCTTTCCTGTTTGTAGGAAATGGTTTCTTTTGCTCTGATGTTGCTGATAACAGAATATTTCAAATAAATTCGACAGAACACTATTGGTAAGCTAAAGACCAGTTTTTCCTTCCTTCTCACAACCTTAGCAACATTTATTCTGTACTTAGTGCATGGTGTGCATATTATTTTTTAATGAGAAAAAAGTCTGACTCTGTAATACATGGGCATGGAAAAAATTAATTTTTTATAGTAAATACAATAGATTTCCCTCTTGTAGATTTTCCTCTTTTCTATGCCAGAAACATATTTTTAAAAGGTTCTGTGCCTGTTTAGTTTGTTAAAATCATTTAAAAATTTAAAAGAAGAGCTCATCTCTCAAACAGGCAAGAATGGGCAAATCCTCCTTAGCAGATCATTATTAAGAACTAAAAATCAATGTAAAAGGCTCTTGGACAACAAAAGCAGATGTCACTGCGCTGTGTATTCCACCCTGTGGAGACCTCTGTGGGTGTGGCTGAGGCTGTGTTGTACAGTTCTAGGGGTCTGGGTTCTCAGCTTTCCGAACCTACAGCAGACATAAAGCCACAACTAGAAGGAAAGAAGGTAAAGGCAGACACCGCGGGAGCGAGAGCCTAGCTCCCTGCGGTGATGCTCTGGAAATGTCGTAAGTGGGCAATGCACCGCTGGGGCTCGCTGGCTGGAGGAGTCACACGGCTGGCTTTTAGAATCACGTACCTCAACACATCAAATTCATACTGTATTGCCTGCAGTTAAGAAATGACTAACTGCACAATCTTTGATTACAAAATCATGAAAGTATGTAATACTTGTAGTTTTGATAGCTAAACATGCTCTTAGTAAAAAGTTCAACCTCTTTGCTCTTTCAAAAATTTATCTTTCTAGAAATGTCTTATTCCGCAGGATTCCAGGTAGCTGCAAAAGAAAAGGCTTACCAACTCTGGGGTACGATGTGTTGTGGACGCCCTGGAGACTAGGGCAGTCTTCTTTCAAACACACTCTTTTATATCCCCCTTCTTCAATTTTAGTTGCAGTTCCACAGGTCGGGCAGAACTTGTATCGACTATGCCAGGCAAGAACCGATCTTGCTTGAGCTACCACTCCTTGTAAAAAGCACAGAAAGGTTTCACACAGTGATATATTGTAAAAAATTAATATGTAGGCATAATGTTCTCAAACAATAATAAACACATATACTGTTCACTGAACAGTTGTGATCATTGGTTTTAATACTTGTTTTTGTATGGTACATTCTTCCCTTAAAGTAAAAACTTAACCTTTTAGATGACAAATGAAAATTATGTTTAACTTTAATTTGCATTAAATATAATTCTCATACAAGACAGATGAACTAATAATCCACCTTACACTCTTAACTCTCAGATTTTTAACCACTAATCTTTAAATTTTGGGTGCATGTAACTGTGGTATGTAGTGAATTTACAAATACTTCACAAGCATGACTTTTAGAAAAACACTACAGTTTTGCTGGGGGTGCAACTCTGGCAGAGTGCTTGGCTAGCATGTGTGATGCTCTAGGTTAGGTCCCCAGTAGTGCAAAAATAGAACCAAAGCAAAACGATCAAATACTACCGAGTCAGAAGGAAACACTCAGGACATGGCAGTCACTCAGGCTGGCCCACGTCATTAAAATATATTGCATTTATAACAGCTGTGGATAACTGTGTTTATGAAAAAGTCCCAAGAGTACACTTGGAATATACATATATATTTTGTTTATACCCTTTTCATTGATATTTAACATGCCCTGACTAGAATCATCACATTTCAGTCAATGAGAATAGAAGCTACACTTTAAATGGCTGATGAATTTGCTTTCTTTAAAATACATGATTTGGTCCATGAAATTTTGAAACAAAATAATAAAGAATATTTAAATTGAGAAAATAACAATGAAATTCAATGAACAGCAGGCAGCATTACATATCTGCCTACCTTGTAACATGTAATTCACACTAGAGTGTCCAGTATAATTCTTTCAGGAGCATCACAATAGGAAAAAAATAACTCATCAAGTAGCGTGTGCCAACTGCTGTTTAAAGAACTTTATATAAATTATTTACTTAATGTTTAGAGAAATGCCATGAGGGAGGAAGGTGCTGTACTTATCCTTATCTTCTACAAGAAAAACAGGTAGTAGTAGAGGAAAAGCAGAGGAAAGTAACTGTGTAAGATTATCCTAAGTAACATGTAAGATTATCCAACAAGTGAGATTAAGGGCCTCAGTTTCCTTACTAATAAAAGAAAAAATAAAAACAGAGCAATAAGCTCACTCATAAGATTATTTTCACTGTAAAATACCATGTGTGTATCTACACATGTACATATACAAAACATAAAAATATAAAAAATTGAGTATATTTGAAGATGAAAATGATCTGTATGTGTCCAAAGAGAAGATTTTAAAAACCTTAAGCAAAGCCCAATGGTTTTTCACAGGTGTGAAGTACATCACAGCAGGCTCTGTGTGGGAATGTTGCCTTTGCACACTGATGAAGGGACTCTGCCTCCCACTAACTCTTCCTCTATGTTCCTTCCATGTCAATAATGTTCCTTCCGTCAAACTCAGCAACAGCTTCATCATACCAAAACTAAAGGTTCTTTAGAAAAAGAAAAATGTACTCAAAACTCCTAACAGCATTTGACACACTTGACCACTCTCCTCTTGAAATGCTCTGCTGTCTTTATTTCCTCCGACTTTACACTGACACTGTTACCTTCTTTGGTCCTTATACCTGACCTGCAGAAGTCCATGGATTTAGGTTGTTTTCTGTTGCTTTCAATTCTCTACGCAATCTCGGTAGTTCCTTGGGATCTTTGTTGATGGCTGCTGTGAGTCTCTATTCAGCCCTCTTCCCTGAGTTCTAGATTCTAAGATGAATCTCAACAATTGAATTTATCTGAAAAAAAATTCTGGGCTTACTACAAGTTTGTCCTGCTGTCACTGCTCTATCCATCACCCTTTATTTTCAAGAAAGAGCATCATTACTACATTACTAAAATCTCCTAGAGGTCACTCTTGCTTTTTTCTTCATTATATCTTTTACGTGATCTATTAGCAGTTACTGTTGATTTTCTCTCCAATTATATCTCTTAGCACTTCTTAGCCTGAGACAAGGTTAGCCCCTCTTACTTCTAAAGGTCTCAACTATATATCAGTGGCTAGCAGATGCACATCCACAATATGTCAAGCTCTCTCCCTTCCTTATGATCACTCTGGTGAAAGCCACTGGAATTTCTTACCTGGGCTATCCAAGTCCCTCATAATTGAGTTTTAAAACTTACTGTCATTTCTCCTATAATTTATACTGTAAAAACATTTAACATGAGGTTTTTCTTTAAAAAGTACACACACAGACAAAAAACAGACCAGGTTACAAGATTCATATGACATTTAGATCTAAACTCTAGTTCTTACCACGGGATAAAAAGACTCAGCATCAGAAGACAAGAATAGTTGAGGCCTCTGAGATTATGTTTAGTGCAGAATAGTCGCTGAAGAATTAAATGAAATCATCACACATTAGTTAATTTTAGGAAGTTAATTTGGGTGATTAATACACTGCGAATGCCCAAGAGAGTAGCGTTATAGATTAAACATTTTAGGAAGTTTCTAATGAAGATAGCCTACTTTTACTGCTTACTGGAAAAAATGTGCTTCCTGGAAGTCCAACTCAGTTCAAAGGTAGATTATTACCAAAACAAAAAAGCAGTGTTTGTATCTTACCAGCTTCTTTTTCTTTCAACTGTAGAAGAGCTGGCATTGGAGGATGAAGAAAATAACAGTTTTCATGTCTTTGCTTAAATTCTTCAGCAGCAAGAAGATCTATACCTAAAGCAAACCAGGCAACCAACCCATCCTCCTCTTCTTCTGGGACTTCTCCAGCATGATTATGTGACTTTTTTTGCATTTCAAGCTCTACTCCAAGGAAAATCAAGGTGATCTTCTCAGGCTGAGCCAAGTACTCCTTTATATCTGAGTAGTGCAGCTGACAAAGCCTGACTTCCGGTTGTTGGAAACTTTCTTTACTGCCACCTAGAGTGACCAAGGGATTTAAATCTGAGAAAAGAATATAAACTGTGGATGGATGGCTTTCTTTAGCTAGCAGCCAGTCAGAATTACTTCTTTTTTCGCTTTTTCGATCCAGGAGTGTTCTGCTAAAATAATTTTCACATTCTTCAACTTCATTGGTTAGGAACCAAGGCTTCTTCCCACCTTTAGCATTAGCTAGTAAGTTAGCTATATGCTTATAACCCCAAAATACAGCAATATCCAGTGCAGTTTGCTTTGATTTATTGACAACTGATCTATCACACCTATAGATGGAAGAAAAAATTGGGCAGGAAAAATAAAATTGGCAGTAAACATTTTCTCTTATATTTAGTTCAATGTAACATTTCTAGGTACACATTATAGTTCCAACACTTACTGATTTTATACATATTTGCCTATTTTGGTACACAGCTTATTACTGAGAATCAATAATCACAGTGAGGAAAGGCTAGAGTGGGCAATTACAATTTCTAGGTAATTACTCATAAAAATACACAGCATAATGATGCAAACATTTTACAAGGAGCCCTTGATAATCATAACAAGATTTGTATTTTTTATTTGGGAGTAAAATATTAGACTACTCATAAACTTGCTTTACTATTAAGTAGGTTGTGCTTGCTTTGGCAGTACATATACTATTAAGTATGACAGGTTAATTCAATAATAATAATAATGACAATATAGCTTTGGATGTAGCTCAGAGGTAGAGGGCTTGCCTGACAAGCATGAGACCTCTGGGTTTAATTCTCAGGACCAGTAAAAATAGTTACAGTATTTAGTGAGATATTATGCTCCTTTTTATATAATAAACTGATCAATGAGTTACATACTAGCCCAGTAAAATAAATGTAGTGAGAAGGATATTTATTTGGAAGGATATATGTAACACAGAAATTGAACCACAAACCCTTTCAAGTGGTAGAGCCCACAATGTTTACCCTTTCTCAAGCAGGAACTGGACCACATCTGGGTGTCCATTCCTCGCAGCGTACATTAAAGCAGTCCAGCCATTCTCAGACGTTTCATTGAGAAGAGATGGAGAAAAACTGAGCATGCCTGTTAACCTGGCAATATTTCCTTCGGCAGCTGAACTGAGAAATTCAGAAATCATTTCCTGTTTTGGGCTTCCTTTACCAGAGGACATTTCTTCCTTCAAAAAGCAAATGGGGGGGGGGAGAGAGAAAAACCTTCATTTGCAGCTGCTTTTTGCAATGAACAAATGTTATTTGAGCATTGATGCTAGAATAAAAGTTTATAAAACAATAGTCTTAAACATAGTAGTAATCAAAATATTCACTTTGAAATTGTTATCAGTTGAAAATAATTTACTTGCTCACAGGAGTATATTAAAATAATGTATCAAGGCTTTCACAAAACAGAGGCTTGAGGTGTGGGGGGATGGGCAGTAACATTACAAAAGCCTGGGGGTAGACCGGAGGGGACTTCACTACAGAGCTATGGAGCAGGGATATGAAAGGGACAGTAAGGCAGATTAAAATAAAGGCAGAGGGTTTTTGTAGTATTCTATGACTCTAATGTACCACGTGTAAGTCCCTGCCCTCAGAAAATTATGATCCTATACTTATTCAATTAATTATACTTACGTAGTTTTCCAAGTTTCACATAAGAGTAATTTACTGCTCTACCTTGCAGTTAATTCTGCAATCCACATGGCACTGATTTTTGTTCACGGCATGGGGTGGGCTAGGTCAAGATATGTTTAATTTCAATGGATAATTCCTATGACTCAGCACTATTCTTGAAATTCCTCTTTGTCTCACGGCACTGCACTGTTATCCTTGTCACAAAACATATGACCACATATTTTTGATCTATTATGAGACACAGTTCTGTTGGGCAATATTGTTCTTGAATCAGAGATTTAATCTTTTAAATCATGAACTCTGTTTGCGTTGTCATTCTGGTGGTCCAGAAAAAAAAAATGCCGCTGTCCTGTACTTAATAAATGTCATATAATCATGGAGTACATGTGGTAGGGCACACACTGAGCTGTGTAAGAAACTGGTTCTTGTTTGAATTGACCATGAACTTTTTAAAGTATCCTAAGACCATGAAATGCTCTTAGAAAAAGATTTGGGATTTTAACTATTCTACCATTTCTAAGCAATGAGGTACTTAGGCCAAGATGAAGTTATAAACCATAATTTTTGACATCTGTGGCCTCATGTTTCAAAACTGCAATCTAGTTGATCAATTTTGTAGTCCAGATAGAACAAAATTTAGGCAAAAATGGGCTAACGATTAACTTTCTTATTTTGTATCTGTTTCACATTTCCTGTTTGTTATTTACGAGATTAAAATCTACACATGGGATGGAAAAATCCTAATACTCAAATCTATTTACACATTAGAGGTGATCTCTGCATTGAAACACATCTTTATTTCTTTTGATTTACTCTTTCCATTTCCATTCTTTTCATTACGAAGTTTCTAACCGCTCTGAACACTTATGAATAACAACAGCTGTCACTCTATGACTTTACTTTGAAGCCCTGCTAAACAGACCCCTGTATGGTGTCTCACTCCCGTAGCCTTTCTAATATCACAAACTTTCATTAGTTTCTTCACTCAGGCTTCCTTTCAACTGATTTCACTGTCCTGTGTTCTCTCTTGGTCATGGTCACTCAAGATCAATCCAGGTGATTGCGAAATTGTTCTCCAAAAATGCAATGTCATTCACCAGTCGCTACCCTTAATGCTACACTGACGTATACAGCACTTTCTGAAGAAGTTTCAAAAACAGAACAAGAAAAAGAAATAAACCAGGTATGTTTCCCTTTGCTTTCCTGACAGAAAAGCCATCCCGGGGAGCACAGAAGAGCCCACATTGAGCTCTGCCGCGTGCCACCTCCTTACTGACAGGTGCGAGGAAAAGGCTCTGAAAGCCCCGTGAAGGGCTACATCCTTGCTCCCCTAGGAGGGCATGGACTATTCTGAGAAGTCCCTGAAGCAACTTGGGGTTTAAAAGGCCTTCCATCTGAACTACATCAGCATCCACTCTTACTGACGCGTAGTGACCCGGGCCCAAGCCAGCCCAAGGTCACGCGGTCGGAGCGCCACAGAAAAGACCTCGCGTCAGACACGCACAGCCCCGTCCCGCGACGCACTCCCGCTGCCAGCCCTGGGCGAGCCGAACCTGCACGCGCAAACCCGTACGGGCTCTCCCAAGGGTCAAACGCAGTAGGGTTTACTCTGCCACTGCTTTGAGAAGTTTCCTAAAGTAAAGTCACGTCTGAAGTAGCGTCTTTTCTCTTCACGCCCTATATTAACACTCGGGCTGGAGGCTCCAGCAGCCGCGGCTCCGCAGGAGAAACCCGCCCGCTCCCGGGAGCCCCGGCGCCCCGTCGCAGCGCCCGCCAACCCCGAGCGAGGGTGCGCCACTCGAGACCCAGCGGCCGGCGCGGGGCGCAGGGCACCGCCCCAGAGGGGGTCGTGGGGCCGACTAACTCCCCACGGCTGCTACTAACCCAGTGTGACCAGAGCAGCCGCCAACAGGACCCAGCTAGGAAAGCCAACTCGCGCTTTTCCCAGCGCCGGAAGCAGCCTTCTCGACTTCCGGCCTGGTCGGGGTCCCCGCAAGGCTTCTTGGGAGTTGTAGTCTGCAGGCTCGGGCTGCACGAGGCGGAGCGCGGGCGGACTCGGCGCGGAGGTGGCTCCGCTGCCCCGAGGACGGCTGGGTAGAGAGGCACGTGCGGGTGGAGGAAAAACGTCCGTCCGTGAGAACCCTCTTAAGTTTTCCAGTAATTCTCATCTAGCTCCCCAACTTTCCGTCAGCCAGGACTGCCCTGTGCGATTGCGTCTACCAAGCATGTTATGTAATCCAGGAATGCTCAGGGGACCCACTGTCTTCTGTATGCCACTTCAAATAAGTTAACGGCCCCCGGAAAAACTCGTTTCTCCCCAAGTCTAAAAGAGTACCATGCGTTGATGTCCACCTCGCCAGTCTTCTACCAAGTATGTGTCTGCTGGGCGTGTGGTGCAGGTCGCTCTTGGCTTCAAGCCTCCCATAGCACGTTGAGTTGTGAGGTTTAAATAAAATAATGCAAGTGTGCCAAGGCCGCCAAGGCTGACCCTTGCCGCATGATTATTACTGTTGCTCTTACTTTGTTTCCTGTGCTTTCCTGCACCTTCTTTGCCAATCAACAACAGATATGGGAGTCAAGATTGATTTTTGTTTTCTTCCTACACTGTTACTATGCCTGGGAAACCTCCCATGATGATATTATATATACTAGTGAGCATAGTATGCTCCGACTTTGCCCGAAGGCGTCCTACACTTCTTTCTATGAGTAGTTATTTTAAACTGGTTAAAGCTTTCAGGGATCAGACAGATCAGAAATATTCTTTAAGGGCCAGGGAGATAGCTCAGTGGCGTAAGCACCTGCCTGGCAAGCGCAAGGTCCTGGGTTTGATCCCTGGTACTGCAAAACAAAACAACAGAACAACCCCAAAACCTTTTTAAGTTACCTCACGCAAATACCTCATCTTTGTACTGAAACATATATTTGAGTAGATAAATTAGTATAATGAAGGCTCATACATTAAAATTCCAGCATGAGCAAGTATTATTAATACATAGATCTCCCAGCACTTAAGAGCTTTAAAATAAATTCCAGGCACATATTAATAAATATTTATGGTAAAATTTTAAAAATTATGAATGAGTACCTAACATCTAAGCACTTTAATAAAATAATTTAGCTATATCACTAATGTAATTAAATTTTTGACAATGTACTGTAATAATATGATAAATCCAATATAAAGTTATGCATTTATCACATGTCTTATTTTCAGTTGATTCTTTCAAATCCAGAACTAAAGGTCTCCACCTTACATTTTAATGTCTTTATTCTCACTTTCCCAGAAATTTTTTGTTGAAGATTAATGATGATTTTTTCTGTACAATTTACCACGTCTCACTTTTCTGAGACTATATTCCTCTGGGGTTCTTTCCCCACATATTTATTATAAATCAGTAGTTAAATTTACAGGGATTATTTAATGTTTACTTATTATTGCATTAGATGACTAAGTGCACAATGCATGGTTGTCTCTTTGCCACATTATAGTTGACCTTTGCTTTCAAATGTTGTGAATCTGATGAGGTTAATAATAAACATAAATTTCTTGCTGACTTTTTGGCTAATGATTATAGTAGCTATTGATGACTATTTTATAAGGAGTTGCAAAATGATGATGTGCTAAGTTGATAATTCACTGTACAGTTACTAACAAGAATTTTTATAATACAAATTTTTCTCCTTAAGTACAGTTTGTAATACGTGATTCTGTCCTACTTACTTTCTTATTGCTGAGCCATAATACACGACACCCACAAGTTGCAGGAAGAAAGGTTTGCTTTGGCTCACAGCATGTAGAGGTTTCTGTTCACAGTGGCTGGGCTGTAAGGTACAGCAGTGTGGCAGAGGAGAAGCCTGCTGGCATGGCAGCAGGAAGCGGGAGAGAGATCAAGGGAGGAGCCTTCCAGGCCATGCCTCCAGGGAACACTTCCTCCAACCAGGCTTACCTCTCCAAAATAGATTTGGCTGTTATACCCTCATTGGGTCAGTCCACTGATGGGTGTCACACCCCCAAGCCCGCTCGCCTCCCCAAAACCCCACCTCTGATCTCTTGAGGCTTTGCAGGGGTCATCTAGACATGAGCTAAAACACTGATCGGGCATACCTCTTACGCTTTCCTACATCATTTCTTGTGCCATGTCATTTTTCCCAACCAGTGCTTTCCTTTATCCAAATCCTACCCACATCTTTTCTTTGCATTGTCTAGAGACCATTTCCGCCACAGGCTTGTTAGTTTCCTGTGAGTATTATATTAGTGCATGTTGCTCATTTTTCCAACTTCTACCATCATAATTTTTTGACCTGGGGACTAGATGATATGTTGCTCTCCTACTCAGCAGGTCAGTATAACTAGATGCTTAATATCTTTTTTATACCTTTTAAAAATGCATTTAGCACAGGGTCTCACTACACAGATCGGACCCGTAGTGATCCTGTTTTCAACTTCCCAAGCGCTTGGATTGCAGGTGTGGGCCACCACAACCAGTCTCAATTACTGTCTCAGCACACCCCAGGGATTGAACCCCAGCCCCTACATCTACCTAAGCAGGTGCTTTAATCCACCGAGCTATCTGGCGAGCCCCTGTCTGTTCTTTGAGAAAGGGTCTCTGTGTATAGTTCAGGTTGGTCTTGAACTCATCATGCAGCCCAGGCTGGCCTCAGTTTCACAGTGAGCTGCCTCAGCCTCCCAAGTGCTGGGGTTAAAGGGGTGTATCACCACTATTCCTGGCTGCTCAGTACATCTTGAGAGCAGCTCTCAACTGCTGACTGACACGCCATGAATTGGTGTATAAATACCTCTGGCTTTCTCATCTTCTTATGCGGAGGAACATGTTGTATACCAGCTTTCAGATCACCAGCATGATTAGGTTCTTTATCTGAAATAGACATTGATTGATTGATTGATTTGTTTATGCTTTGTGACATGGGAGCTTGAGGTCAACCTTCACACTGAGCTGTATTCTAGTCCTTTGTTCTTGAGCCTGGGCCTTGCTGATCACCAGTTTACTCGGACTGGGCTGGATCTCAAAGTCCTCCTGCTTCAGTTGCCCTTGGACTTGTGCCTAATAACTCACTCTTCATTGGCTGTCTTTACTTTCCAGTTTCCCTACTGTTTCTTTCCTTCCTCACTCTTCCACTATTAGTTCTCTGTGGGTTGCTTGTTGCCTGTGAACTCTTATCTCAGGATCTGCTTCTGGGGAAACCTAACCTGAGATGAAGATTGTTTTCTCTTTTTGTAATTCATAACATTTATTATGTAATCACTTTCTTTCTCTACAGAGTTTGAAAGAATCATTAATATCATTAGTCACGTAAGTCCCTATTACTAGTCATACTGCAACATATTGTAGTCTCTTGCCTTTATGAGGGCGGTGTAATTACAAATCAATGCATGAAATTTGGATTGATTGCCCTTGAGACAAATAATTGGGAATTCAAATCATAGATTGCTGTTTGTTTTTTTTCTCTGCCCATAGAATCATTTTACAAGATGGGTTGTCCTTTGCTATTATCAGCTGAGGCCACTTGGGCCTCTTGTATGTTAGTGGTACCAGATGTAGAAAGTCACTTCCTGTCTTTTTAAGGGTGCCCTGAAGAATGTTGTGTAAATGCAAAGAATGTTTTTTTAAGATAGAAGTAGGGCCGGGGAGATGGCTCAGTGGAATAAGCGCTTGACTGGCAAGTGCAAGTGCAAGTGCCTGAGTTCAATCCCTGGTCCACAAAAAAAAAAAAAAAAAAAGAAGAAAGAAAAAAAGATAGAAGTATGCTGGCTCTCCTGCCTATTTAGTGAAAATTTATCACTTTTCCCTTAATCAGATAGAAACTTGATTTTTATGAGTAACATACAAATAAAAGTATATTTAGGTAATATGATTTGGAATGAAGTATACCCTACCTGGAGATACACTAGCTGGAAACATTTCTTTTTATTTGTTTATTTAAATATTTATTTATTACAGTGTTTTGCCACACAGTTTAGACTTGTAGTGATCTTCCTGTCTCAGCCTCCCTAGCACTCAGATTACAGGGCTGCACAGAACACCCAGAGTTCCAGGGCTGGCACTGTACACACTACTGGAGATTAAACTTGGGTCCTTGCACTTGCTGGGCAGGTACTTAGACTGCTGAGCTGTCTCCCAGCCATCTTTTTATATTTTTGCATTAACACTTCAGATATTCTTGCCTTTTATTTAAATTGCAGGTTATTTTTTTAAATAGAGAGAATTTAATTTTTCAAAAGCTTTTAAAATAATGGCTAATTTCTGCTCACATATAAGACAGTTTAAAAATGGCAGTTGATACTGATACAATGTGGCAGGAAATGTGCTTCATTTTTTATTTAAAGAGAAAAAACGGATACAGAATGATATAGAATTTCAAAACAAGATGATAGGAAATTATATTGCATAGTTATCTTCAAAGTAGTTGCTCAGATTACCAGATAAAGGCATGCAAAACTGATCAAACAATATAAACACTAACTGCTTGCTTCAATCAGCTAATAGAAATTAGTAGTACAGTTTTATCTTAGAATATATATATATATATATATATGTATATATGTATATGTTTTTTCCCCTCCTATTTCCCCCATGCCTGTTCTTTCCTTTGAGCTGTTTCTTTCCCTTTCACAATACCTACTATACTTTTTGGATCTTATGGAAATGCGCTTTAAATCTGCACAATTCAGAGGTACGTCGAGGTTCAAGTCTCTAAAGAGTTTCTAACTTGCAAACATGACATGTATATTTTGTAGTCTTGGGTACACCACACCAGGTTTGCCTTGGTCTTTGGACCTTTGGTCTAGTTATTGTATCCTTTTGAAAAAATTTTTCTTACATTTCTTCTAATTATAATCATCTAGTCATTCTAGTGTCAACCATAACACATTTTAGATCTAAACAGTAAGAGGCACCCAGTATAGATTTATAGGGCAGGATTAGAAAAGGTATAATGGAGACTT